TCAATAATAAGAAGCAAATCAATTATGCCACACAAATCACAATATATTGCATGTCATGTCTGTTGGAGTGTTTTATGGAATAGATTAGTTCTATTCTTTTATTGCAAATGAGTTGTCATGGCAACTTTTCATCAATAAAATTGTTGAACATCAAGTTATTAAAAAATAGATCTTGTTTTTCTTTGCTGTTTTGTTTGATGGCCAAATTATTCCATGTGTAAAGGAAAACTAAGTCTTTAATGTAACAATTATATGTGAATCACATATATTCATGCATATACTTCATTAAAAATTTTTTTTTAGACCTTGACATTTGAGAAGTGATAAGATCCCAAAGGTATAGTTCACAGAATGTATATAGATAATTTCCAATTTTGGGCCCAGAAGGCATAAAGGTTTCTTACAATGACAAGATAGAAAGTTCTAAAAGAAAGGTTATAGTAAACATATACAAACATAAACACACATACACACACATGTATATATCTGATATAATATTACAAGTAACTGGACATGTAGATGCAGCAGTTGGGGTTATCAAATTGTTAATTAACATGCAATCAAAATCAATATTATCAATATACATATATACCAGTTTACAAATAAATACGTGTCTATAACATTATTTATGAAAACTCATGGCATTATGCCTTATTTTGAAGGCTTTGACAAGATATTCACTTAGCTTTGTAATAATTAGATTATCTTCATTAGACATTAACCAGAGAAATTTGTCTCCTTTTGATAATAATATGAAATTTATGTTTAGTAATGAGATATCACGAAAAAAATTTATCTCTCTCCTCAGTATGTAATGGGCATTCAGTAAGAAAATTTATGATATTCATCTTCTATATTGTTTTGGTTACACGTTAAACATATTCTTTTGTTTCTATCTAAGGGGATTCTTTGACCAGCATTATTTTTTACAGATTCATATCTGCCTTTTTCAATTCTTAGGTCATGAGCACTTATTCTAAATCTGCAAATGGATTTTCTTATTTCATGAGATTTAATGTACATATATTTTTCCATTATAAAATTTTCTTTAAACATAAAATAAGTAGTAAGTTTTCCAGATTCCAGTCCCTCTTCACGTTTCATTTTCCAATATTGTAGGAAGTGTTTTTTCAAATGTTTCTTAACTTGTTTTTTTTAAAATGTGTTTTTGTATGTTTTACATTCTGGTTATATATAACACTAAAATCATAACTAAGCTAGTTTATTAGTTACATAGTTTGGAAGTGACAGGTGATACCTGTTTAGTTAATTTGCATACCTAGTTGTAAGGTGAAGCTGAGCCAGGTATGAAATTTACTAAACTGGTAACATTTTATACATGACAGTTTTGAAAACTTTCAGTAATCAAAGGGAGAAAAAGGTTCTACTAAGACACCCATCAAACTTCATAATTTTCCGTTTTTTCATAGTGTTAAACAAAGTCCACCATGTATTGATTATCAAGTGACTAGGTATAAGTATAAATACAGCCCATTCACTCAACAGACTACATCCAATCTTAAGCCAGGATATTATAGAAAATGCTTCACCTTTAGTTTCATCTTTTCTGGCACCAGTGGTCCTTGAAAAGAACAATTGAGAACTTTAACACCAATTTTTGTCTTTACTTTATTATTTCCCATTGTAAGGGGGCTTGGCCTTCATTTTAAAAATTCTATCTCCCCTAAACCCAAGGTCTTTAGGATGCTTTGTACCAAGTTTGGTTATAAAATTGTTCAAGTACTTTTTGAGAAGATAAATAGTGAAAAGTTTACAAAGGAGCCAAAAATTGGTCTTACCCTACCTCAAAGAATTGAACAGTTTAGAATCTACACAACCCAAGAATGCATTCACATACCGGTAACTTAACAAGTTTCAGCATTTCTGGAAATGAAGATTTTTAAAGTTGAATTCCCTGTTGCGGCCCAAGCCTACCACCAGGGGCCATGATTTGAACAAATTAAAATCTACACTTAGTCTAGTATATGTATCCCAAAATGCTTCCACATTAGTGTCAGGTTTTCTGGATCAGTGTTTCTCTAATCTCGAGGAGAAGATTTTTTTCCTATTCATGTATTCAATGTAAAACTTCTTAATAGTGACCCCGCCGTACCCCAGGGGGTCATGATTTGCACAATTTAGAATCTGCACTACCCGAGGATGCTTCCAAATAAGTGTCAGCTTTTTTGGCCTAATGATTCCTACGAAGATTTTTTAATGACCCCACCCCAGATATTTTTTTTTGGTCTTGAAAATTGGTATTTATAATCGCAACAAAATTTCGCTAACTGTGATTATTGTAAACATTACAAACACAATCAAACGTTATCTCAAACTTGATTTAATAAATTGTTAAGTTTTTGGCTAGAAATTCATGTTAGACAATAACTTATTCAAAATATATACATGCAACAAACATTAAAAGACTCTTAAATAATAAAAGAAATAATTTTAAAACAATCAAACACATAATTCCAAAGAAGTTTATACTGAAAACAATACAAATGTGAAATACGGCATTTGTCACACTGGTAAGTTGAGCATTTTTAAATGCATTCTGTACAATTGAGCTTTCCTAAATAGAAAATATATGACCTTTAATTTTAAATTTGTGTCCAAACCCCGTTAAAATCAAATACTAGCAGAAAACAAGAGGCCCACAGGCCTTATAGGTCACCTGAGTATTGCGTAACAACTTTCAAACAATTAAATTTTGTTCGTGTTTTTAACCAGAGGCCATGAAATTGTCAATTCACAATTTTGAAAGAGGTACCATTGCTTATCATAATTATTAACTTAGCATGCTTACTCTATTTACTTAATACCCAGAGGTAGATCAGATAAACAAAGAGAAAATGCACTTCCACTTTATACCCAGTTGTGCACCTCAACCCAAAGCAACCACTGACCCAGAGGCCACATATTTCAAAATTTTGCAAATTTTATCATAAAATGGTTGATTAATACCAAAGAGCAGATTTCAAAGCATAAATTTATTTTCAGACTATGTAACCCCTCCTTCTGACCCAGGGGGCATAAAAAAAAACCACTTTGCTAGATGCACCTTTCTTCATCATAAATACACTGTATATATACTTGAATCATTGGCAGAAAACCTAGAAGCAAAGGAAAATATTTTCAAAGAATTGATGTATTTTTACGATGTAATCAATAGAGCCCCACCCTAACACCAGAACCCCTAACCCTAGGGCCATAAAATTCAAAATTTTGGAAGAGGCACTCTTGCTCATCATAACTTTGTGCTTAGTTAGTTTATTTAATACCCAGTAGCAGAGAAGAAGATTTTCAAAGAATAAATGCATTTTTACTATATAATCAATAGAGCCTCACCCTAACACCAGAACCCCTGACCCTGGGGCCATCAAATTCACAAATCTGGAAGAGGCACTCTTGCTCATCATAACTATGTACTTAGTTTATTTAATACCCAGGAGCAGAGAAGAAGATTTTTCAAAGAAATAATGCATTTTCACTACATAATCTATATAGCCCCGCCCTAGCACTAGAACCCCTGACTCTGGGGCCACGAATTTCACAATTTTGGTAGAGGATTCAATGCTCATTACATTCATGCCAACAGTTTGCCTGCTTGATGTCCAGGAGTAAAGAAGAAGATTTTTAGTGGTTTTTGCCCCACCCCTCAGGCCCCAGGGGGGCGGGGACCATGAAATTCACAATTTTTGTTTCCCTCCACCCATAGATGCTGTATACCAAATTTGGTTGAAATTGGCTCAGTGGTTTCAGAGAAGAAGCTGAAAATGTTCAAATGTTAACACACGACACACGAAAATGGATAGCAATAGGTCACCTGAGTTACCTAAAAATTCCATAATTCTGATCAGTTTTTGATTCACCAACAATCTTCATGGGTCTTTATGATCACGTTTATGAAACAAATCATTAAAATAAATAATCAGATAAAAATTAATGTAATATTCTTGTAATATATGTTTCCTTTGCCTCATCTTCGCTAGCCAAGGGTGACGATCCTCTCCTCTCCTCTTTTCAAAAAAGAAAAGAGGAGAGGAGCGGATCGTCACCCTTGGCTAGCGAAGATGCCTTTGCCTTAGAATTCATCATATGTACAACTAAGATGAGTTTTCATCAACGATGAGTAACGTCATCGCACTGGAGTCTTTTGTTCAACATTCACTCTTTCAAATAATCACACTTGCAGCATACTATCTCAGATATACAAGAAATTATGTTCAATGCCTCAAATCTATTAAAATCATTGTTACAAATTTTTCTGCTAAAATATTTGAAAATATACAAAATCACATAGAAAGTAGACTACCTAGTATTTTATTCCCATCCAAAAATATTTATCAGGAAATATAAAGAATTATACAAAATGCACATTAAAAATCAAAGAAAAACAATATTGTTTTGAATATATTCAATCACAACATTTCAAAATGGTCATATGATAAACTTCTTCAAGACGAAAAACAATCCCTATTAACGGCCCTGCCCCTATAAGCACCCCCTTAGGACTTTTTCTATTGTCAGGAAATAAGGGCCCCCTGTACAGTGATTAAAATTTTCAATGATTGTATCAAAATTCTGCCAAAAGTTTGAAGAAAGTCTATAATCCAATTCCTTGGTGGAAAATGAATCAATGACATTTAGCTTAATTTGGGTGGATTATCTTCACTTAAAATAAAGTTAAACATTATTATAGTGGTTCTTTGAATTTATTTCTTTTTTCAAAAGGTTTTTTGAAGTTAAAATATGACCTTAAATATTATAAAAAGAATGCTAAAATAACCGCCCCTTTTACGCAATTTTCTAAGCACCCGGGGCGGTTAATAGGGATTATTTGTAACCAAATTTTTCAGTGTAACAAACTTAAACTCAATCTATATGTTGGGACATAATTAGATTCATTTTGATATCCTTGCTTATAAACTAAGATACCAAAGTACATTTCAATGTGATTAATACATGTGTTAAATTTCATAGTCAGTAAAACACATTTACTTGTTTATTTCTAGTGTTTTCAGAATCTCTTCGGTCTTATTGTAGTCATCAATACTGCCAAAGTCAACAATCACTAACTCAATTACTTTCATTTTACAATCCTTTCCAGGTACACATGTAAAAAAAGGTGGAACTTGAATATACACTGAACGAAAACCTTCTGAATTCACAATCCCAGAAGAATTAAATGTTATCCGTCTGCCATTTCCTTCTTTGCCTGACCTAAGAGTGTCTGTGAGTGACATATCTGATGGACCTGGTCGTACCCCAGCCTCCCACAATGCCTTCACACAGTTAGCTCTTCCAAGATAAACAGCCACATGTAACGGTGTTGGCAGATCAGTGTTACTGCGATGATGGACACAAGCTTTTCCAAGCTGTAACATGAGACTGAGAACCTTGCAATTGTCATGTAAGATAAGATAATGAAAGATATTGTTTCCAAATTTGTCCACAATTTCAGCTGCTTCTTCCAGAAACTGAGATTTCCTTGATTTATACAAAAAAAGAAGTACTTTCTCATATTCATCATCTGTAGCAAACTCAATTCTTTTAGGATCAGGGTTAACCTCAGCATTTTTTGGATCACTTTTAACAGCTGGATCACGATAGCGTACATTCAATTGAGCAAAAAATCTTTGCATTTCATTATGATCACTGTACATTATTCCTAGTAAAGCTGCTTGTAACACAGAATAACCTTCGTTAGTTTTCTGTTTTTCCCCTAAATTTGTAGCAAATTTTTTTAACAATGAAAATTTTCCTACAAATGCTGCAAAATGAGCACAAGTCCAGTTCTGTTCCGAATTCTCTGGAGCCCGTACTTTCAGAATCCTTTCTACAACATTATCCCATCCATTTAGGATACAGTGGTGGAGGACATTCAATCTAACAGGTTTTTCTGTACACTTTAAGTCAGGAAAAAGACATTTGATTTGATGTTGTAAAATGTCATGAAGACTACTTTGGCTACAAATATACGGCACCAAAACAGAAACACACTGAGAAATACAACTTCTAGCAGAAGTTTCGATACATTCGAGAATATCTTTTCTTGACAAACAGAAACCTTTGTAGGATTCCAGTTTTGAGTATTCACAATGTGGACCATATTCCTCCAGCATCTCCATAAGCAGCACAGGGTTATACATTCCCGGTAACATTGATGAAATGAAATTTTCCCAAGTATTTTCAAGGACCACAGATGCTTTATGATGGTACTTTTCTGTTTTATGCATATGTAGAAGAACCTTCACAAAGTCTGGGTCATATAATACTGGGTGAAAAATGAAATAAAACAATGAATCAGCAAAGTCTTCATGGTTAATGTCTTTTATGTCGTCTAGAAATCTCTCCACTAGATTTGTGTACAGCTTTCCTGGAATAGTCAAAATAACTTCACCAATGCTTTGCTTGCAATTCTGCGTTCGAATAAGTTCATATAAATTTTTTCTGCTGCAGGCCTTTATAACGATCTCTGGGGCTAGTCGTCCAAAGGACACCATTACCGTTTCCAGCAGTGTCTGGTGTGTAAATGTGTAGACATTTTCATTTTCAGCTACCCTCTTTAGAGATTGCTTTGATTTTGTTAATCTCACTACAGCATCTTCCACATCAATTTCTCTGATATTGTCTAATCTCACTTTTTGACAAATACTTTGCATGGCTTTCATATCATAATTTAGCATGTGTATTGAACTGTATATAAATACATATGATAAAACACAGTACTCCAATTTCTTCTCTAGATCTCCCTTCCTCATCTCCTCAATCTCTTCAAGTAATGTTTCATTTGGTTTTTCAAAGAAATCTCTTCCCTTCTGATAAAATTCCTTTCTCATAAAAAACATTGAACACGTTTGAGGAAATCCATAGTACGGGTTTGAATTTGCTATATCCCTCTTCTCCTGTTCACTTAGCTTATAAACAAAATTTTTTCCAAACTGTTTGACATAAAACTCAAATTTTCCTCCAATCAAATCTCTAGCAAAATATTTTTGACATGTTTCATATGCTTCGACTAGTTTTAACTTTTCCTCAAATTTCATGCTAAGTTTTGAAGAAAAATCAATCTCATATTTTTTATCCAGAATTGAAAGACCTTTCTTTTTCACTTGCTCGAAAATGTGTGATCTTATTCCAATTAAAATGCATATGTTTCCTCTCTTTGCTGAAGAAAACATTACCTTTTCCATCTTTTTCCACTTTTCAAATTCCACTGGATCAAAATTAGTTGATCCGAAAATGTCATCTAGAAGGACAACAAAATGACCCTTGGGGTGAATAGCTTTGTTCCATTGATCCGGGGAGGTAAGAATTACAGGCACATACTGCTGTCTTTCAGTACCTGCTGGTTTACCAGCAAACTCAGAAAACACCTCTGAAGCCTCCTTCGCTTTCTCTTGCTTTGGATTTCTTTCATACAGTATATGTGTGCCTTCGCAACTGAACTTTTTGGTACCACCTTCATCTATATTTATACAAGGATTGACATCATCTGCAACAACCATCAATTCCTCCTCAGGGTGATCCTGTCTGACTTGTGACAATTCCAGTAAAACTTGGTATGCTGTGGTTGTTTTCCCGGTACCACTTTTCCCTGTTAGAATAGCTATATGGTTCTTCTGCAGCATATCAATAGTGGCCTGTACTGAGGCTGTCCTTACATAGGTCTTCAATGAACAATGCTCTTCTAACACCTTTTCTGTACAGGCTAAAATAAAAAGAAACCCAGGAATAAAACACTCATCTATCCCATTCAATCAAATTCAAATGAATGACTAGATTTCATTAAAACTTTGTCCTTTGAAAAATTTGAAATTAAGGACCCTCTCTACACAAGTGCAAATTTTTTTGTGGACATTGAGAAAATATATTGTATAAAGGAGTCAATATTGAGCTAATTTATCCAATTTTCACGTATGGTGCATGACATTTACCCCCGGGAAAAATGTTCAAAAGACAACACAGTATAAGTGAAAAGAAATCAAAATTAATTACTTCCATAGAGAAAATACATGTAAATAACATGTTTAGTTAATTTATCATGGCCTTTTAAAATGTTAAGAATACTTTAATTAATAACAAATTGAGTAATATATTATAAATTTCTATTTTTTACAATTTAGATCTAGGGGCAGATCACTCTAACTGCAGAAAAATACCTTACAATCAGAACTCTTTAGTGTGCAGTATAGAGAGGGTTCTTAAGGTTAGATAAAAATTGTCTGTTTTTGAATATCATGGAAAAATACCTACATAAAATACTTTGTTCTTCAAAATTCACCATTGTCTGTAGAGTCTCTGAAATTATATCAATTACTTAATTTAGGCCACCCTTAAAAAGATGTTTGTTTGGAATTGCCGCCTGGGGGTTTTCAGACCGATGAGGGAGGGAGGGAATTTTTTTTTTTTTTTTTTTTTTTTTTTTACAAATTGAAGCTAAATGATAAAAATAAAAATATCACTGAACAGTGGTGATTTTCATTAAATTTCCTCTTTTTTTACTTTATTAATTTTATTTTTGTCTGATTTAAAAAATATATATATACACAGAACGGTACTCAAATATCAATCTAATTTAGATGTTAGATCTGCTCGTTTATTAAAAGTCAATTTTCAGCATCAAACTTTTAACTTCTTGTTTTAATATATCTGAATTACAAGTAAGTTCACTCTTTCATCAAGAAAACAAGAGGCCCACGGGCCTTATAGGTCACCTGAGCATTATGCAACAACTTTCCAGTTATTGAATTTGATTTATGTTTTAAGCCAGATGCTATATGGCATTCACAATTTTGAAAGAGGCACCATTGATCATCATAACAATACACTTAGCAGTTACTTAGAAAAGCTCACTTTCGATTTCAGCTCAGGTTAGCTACTGTAGAATGGTTACTGAATACCCATACGCAGGGTAGGGGAACAATATTGCATTTCAACTAATCAGTAATATTCAGCAATAATCAGAAGTGCCCCTAACACTGTGACATAAACCCCTGACCCTAGGTCCACACATTGCACAATTTTTTTAAAGGCACCCTTAAAATTGCCTATCCCAAAAGGAAAAAAAATAAATGTTATATAAATATAAAGGAGCAGATTTCAAACAATTAATTCATTTTCAGTATATAAGTAGAGCCTCCCCCCCCCCCCACCCCTGACCCTGGGGCCTTGAATTCACAATTCTGCAAGAGTAGGGCCCTTGCTCATCATAACTATAAAAGTAGTTCATCTGCTTCATACCCAGAGACAGAGAAGAAAATTTTCAAAGATTTAATGCATTTTCACTATATAATCAATAGAGCCTCGCCCTAACACCAGAGCCCCTGACCCTGGGGCCATAAAATTCATAATTTTAGAAGAGGCATTCTTGCTCATCATAACTATGTACTTAGTTAGTTTATTTAATACCTAGGAGAAGAGAAGAAGATTTTCAAAGAATTCATGAATTTTCACTATATAATCAATAGAACCCCCCCCCCCCCACCACCACCAGAACCCTTGACCCTGGGGCCATAAAATTCATAATTTTGGTTGAGGCACTCTTGCTTATCATAACTATGCACTTTGTTAGTTTATTTGATACCTAGGAGCAGAGAAGAAGATTTTCAAAGAATTCATGTATTTTCACTACATAATCAATAGAGCCCCCCCCCTAACACCAGAACCCTTGACCCTGGGGCTATAAAATTCACAATATGGGTAAAAGCACTCTTGCTCATCATAACTATGCACTTAGTTAGTTTATTTAATACAAAGGGGCAGAGAAGAAGATTTTCAAAGAAATCATGTATTTTCACTATATATAATCAATAGAGCCCCACCCTAACACCAGAACCCCTGACCCTGGGGCCATAAAATTCACAATTTTGGTAGAGGCAATCTTGCTCATCATAACTATGTACTTAGTTGGTTTATTTAATACCCAGGAGCAGAGAAGAAGATTTTCAAAGAAATAATGCATTTTCACTATATACTTATTTAGCCCCGCCCTAGCACTAGAACCCCTGACCCCAGGGCCATGAATTTCACAGTTTTGGTAGAGGACTCAATGCTGATTACAATCATGCAAACAGTTTGACTGCTTGTTGTCCAGGAGTAAAGAAGAAGATTTTTAAAGATTGCATTAATTTTAGTGGTTTTGGCCCCACCCCTCAGGCCCCAGGGGGGCAGGGATCATGAAATTCACAATTTTTGTTCCCCTTCACCCATAGATGCTTTGTGCCAAATTTGGTTGAAATTGGTTCAGTGGTTGCAGAGAAGAAGCTGAAAATGTTCAAATGTTAACACACGACGCACGACGGACGACGCACGACGACGGACGAAAACGGATAGCAATAGGTCACCTGAGTTTACTCAGGTGACCTAAGAATTAAGCTGTACTTTATTCTTGTGAAGTCTAAGGATATGAAGATTTAAACAGAATAGAAAATCAAAAAGAACAGGAAAACTTGTTTAGTATGCACACAGATATTGGGAATTCATGGATAAAGCAAAGTTATAAAAATTTTACTTTTTCCTAAAAAAAAAAAAGGGGGTGGGACATTCTTACTGTTAGTGTTAAATTGAACCTCAAATAAATCCATACCTTAGATTATAAATAAAAACAAGAGACCCATGGGCAACATCGCTCACCTGAGTAACTTGGTGATGCAAATTTCCTGTCTTGTTATACCTTTTGTGGCCCCCTACCCCTCCTCTGTCATGATTTTAATACTTTAGAATCTACACTACCCCATGATGCTTCCATAAAAGTGTCACCTTTCTGGCCCAGTAGTTTTTGAGAAGATTTTTCCTATATATTTCTTTGTAAAAATTGGATTCTCTATTGTGGCCCACCCTACAGTACCCCCGGGGGCCATGATTTTAACAATGTAGAATTTACACTACCCCGGGATGCTTCCATATAAGTTTCAGCTCCACTGACCTAGTGGTTCTTGAGAAGAAGATTTTTCCTATAATTTTCAATGTTAAACTTGGATTCCCTATAGATTGTAGCCCTGCCCTTCCTTGGGGGGTCATGATTTGAAGAATTTAAAATCTACAGTACCCCAGGATGCTTCCACATAAGTTTCAGCCTTCTTGGCCCAGTGGTTCTTGAGAAGAAGATTTTTTAATGACCCCACCCTATTTTTGTCTTTTCTTGATCATCTCCCATTGTAAGGGGACTTGGCCCTTCATATTAACAATTTAAACTCCCCTTTACCCAAGGATGCTTTGTACCAAGTTTGGTTAAAATTGGCCCAGTGGTTCTTGAGAAGAAGTCGAAAATGTCAAAAGTTTACAGATGTATGGACGGACAGACAGACATCGGGTGATAAGAAAAGCTCACTTGAGCTTTCAGCTCAGGTGAGCGAAAAATGATTTAACTGAAATGATCAAGCTTACTAGTAATAATTTTCCTTTTTGAAAGATAGTTTACAATTCCATACAATTTTCTCTTTTTTCTGGTTATTTGACACATGCAGGCAGATGGATATATGCCATGCAATCAGGCGCGTAGCTGCCTATACGCAAGTACGCAAGTGCGTACACATCATTTTCAACAAAAAAAAAAAAAAAAAAAAAAAGAAAGAAAAAAGAATAAAAAAGAAAAAGAGAGATTTATTCGGAGAAAAAGAGGCACTATCTTTCTTTCAAATTATTTTACGTCTTATTGTTTCTATTCAAATTTTGTTCAGAATATCGTTATAATCCAGTCTTTTAAAAATTGAATTCCAAAATTCTTGAGTAAGAAAATATTGTTGAATCAAGAAAAAGTTACAAGGGTTTTGGACGACTATACAAGAATATCCGTTGAAGTAATGAATAAATATCGATAAACCAAAAAAAGGGCAAAATTCAAATTAATGAACAAAGTTAATATAAATATAGATCATTTATGAATATCTTCTTTTACTGATGTTACCATTTTATAGAATTTCAGTACCCTTACATTGTTTAAGCTAACAGAATATAAAGACCCACACTCCCGTTTATATTTTGAAATACTTTAACTCCAATGATAACTTATTAAATTACTTCTCTGTTTAATCTTGTCACACTTGGAAACTTTTTTTCTAATACCAATATATTCGTAAATTAATTTGATTAAAGTATCCTTCTCTTCCTGAAGTATCCATGGAAGTATAACTTAGCTAAGTGTTTGCTCGAGAAACGAGATGTAGCGTGATTTCTTTTAAAGGAAAATGACTGAAACATTTCGTAAAATCCAGGAGCTACCGGGGGCTTCGCCCCCTGGCCCCCCACCAGGGCTTCGCCCTGGACCCACTGGGGGCCTCAGGGCGGCCCCCAGACCCCCGACCATTTTCTGCGTACACTTCATTTCAATGCTGGCTACGCGCCTGGCAATATCTGTGCAGAAAAGCTCACTTAAGATTTTCTGCTCAGATGAGCTATATTATTTTTTAATTATCCTGTTTTTATTTGTACAGTAAAGTAGTCCTCTTGAAGGATCCATGGTCCTTTATCCAATCATGCTTCTGCTAAGTTTGATCGAGTCGGTCAGAACTGTGGATAAATACGCATATCAGACAGCATCACATAGACAGAAAACAAACCTTAATATGCTTACCCACAGCCTTAATTCTTTTTTCATGATTCTCTAGTTCCTTGCCTTTCCTCTTCACATCCTTTTTCAGTTCCTGCATTTCCACACTCTGTTTGTCCTGTTTACCTAGATCATTATCATAAAAAATATTAAGTTACCGGTAAGGCGCTCCAAGCTCTCTTCAAGACTGTTGTATTTAATTTCCATAAATCATTATGTGCTACCAAGTTCTACTTATTTGCTTGGACTGCAATGTTCATAATTTTTTTTGGTTCACTTTTAAAATCAAATCAAATCTGTAAAACTTCAAGAATGTTCGACAAATCCTAGCTGAGTTTTAAAGAGTTTTACTTCTAATATTTACCAGAAATATCTTCAATAAGTTTTTGCTGGCTGTTCATCAGATCAAAATATTTCTTTTCCAGCTCAGGGTCCATTGTTTCTGTTTTCAAATCATCAACAGCATAAACATATTTTGTAGAATTCCCCAAGTGTTTTTCTAGTTCACTAACAATCAATCGAATCTCTGTCCATGTCTTGGCAAAGTCACTGTCACTCAAAGACATCTCTGGCATGTGACCAAGGCATTTGTTTCTTATTTCTCTTATTCTATCTATATTGGCTGACAGTGAATTGTCACCTGAATCAGGGGTTTTGCCCCATCCATTGCGATGCTCCTTGATTCCACATATATTTCTCAAAAGAGTATATAACAAAGTTAAATCAAATTGACTGTATCCAACAAAATTTGAGCGATTTTTTGGATAAAGCAAACTTTTCAGTAGAGGATCATGTACATGATTCAATATTTTATTCTTTTCTTGTGTCAGCTTATTTAGAAAATCTGTTTCTAACACAAACTGCCTTAACAGATCACGAAACAAATCTGAGACTGGGCCCACCAAGACATGACAGATTCTGGCACGATTTGTGGTCTGAAGAGTGGATGGGTACGAATGAGCTGCCATCTCTGATGACCGTTATTGTAGTAAATGTACTAGCAACACATCATCCCAAATCTGGAACAGAGACAGGAATATTAATTAATACCCAAGACGAATTTCAATATCATATAATATTATATTAACACAGTAATGCTCAACTAGAAAATACTAGCTCACGTTTATGCATTTTATAGCAACTAAAGTACAAAATACCAATGTGCAGGCTCAAAAGAAATTGCAATACCTATGCAAATTTGTTCAAAGGATGCATAGAGCAAATGAACGAGCTAGGGCCATCCTTAAAAATTTTCTTTTTTGCGGTAACGTGCCTCATGATTTTAGGTGTGAGTAGGTAGGTAGGCTTTTTTTTTTTGAAGACAAAATGTCGGAAATAAATTTCAATTATATAGAGGTATTAACTATCTCTTAGATTTCACCACAGGGGCATCTTATCCACTCTGTTCTCTACTTCACATATAAAAATGTGTATTTTTATATGTGAAGTAGAGAACAGAGTGGATAAGATGCCCCTGTGGTGGAACTGACACACAATATTTTGGACTAGTAATTTAGATGTTTTTCCTTTCAAATTCACTGTAACTGACAGAACTATAGAGTCAACATTTACCGCAACCTTCTTGGACGCCATCTCTAAATTTGTAGATCACGAAGATGTTTTAATAGTACTTGGGGGAAAGATAAAGCATCAGTGTAACCGAGGCGTAAAAAAATATGGATCAGATAAAAACGGCATAGGTGCAATGGAGACGTAATAAAATATCAATTGGATAAAAACGGAAAATGCATACGTATAAAAAAAAGAAAGATTTTTGAACCAATAAAAACAAGAGGCCCAGGGGCCACATCGCTCACCTGAGCAATTGGCTAGGAAAAAACACAGATGAGATCAGAACTGAAAGTAAACTGGGGGGGAGGGGGGGGGCGCTTGAATTTTACATCCCTCCCCACAAGGGGGTCATGATTTGAACAAACTTGAATCTACACTACCTGAGGATGATTCACTATAAATATAACGAAGCCTGGCTTTGAAGTACTTGAAAGAAGATTTTAAAAGGTTAATATCCCTATATGTTCCTATGTAAAACTTTGATCGGCCATTTTGGCCCCACCCTACCCCCGGGGGTCATGATTTGAACAAACTTGAATCTACACTACCTGAAGATGATTCCACATGAGTTTCATCTTTCATGGCCCAGTGGTACTTGAGAAGAAGATTTTTAAAGATTTTTCCTATATATTCCTATGTAAAACTTTGATCGGCCATTTTGGCCCCACCCTACCCCCGGGGGTCATGATTTGAACAAACTTGAATCTACACTACCTGAGGATGATTCCACATGAGTTTCATCTTTCCTGGCCCAGTGGTTCTTGAGAAGAAGATTTTTAAAGATTTTTCCTATATTTCCTATATAAATCTTTGATCGGCCATTTTGGCCCCACCCTACACCCCGGGGTCATGATTTGAACAAACTTGATTCTACACTACCTGAGGATGATCCCACATGAGTTTCATCTTTCCTGGCCCAGTGGTTCTTGAGAAGAAGATTTTTAAAGATTTTTTCTATATATTCCTATGTAAAACTTTGATCGGCCATTTTGGCCCCACCCTACCCCCGGGGTCATGATTTGAACAAACTTGAATCTACACTACCTGAGGATGATTCCACATGAGTTTAATCTTTCCTGGCCCAGTGGTTCTTGAGAAGAAGATTTTTTTAAAATGCCATTAATTTTTCTCTAATTCATAATTATCTCCTCTTGGAAAAGGGCCTGGCCCTTCATTTGAACAAACTTAAATCCCCTTCACCCAAAATACTCTGTACCAAGTTTGGTTGAAATTGGCCCAGTGGTTCTTGAGAAGAAGATGAAAATGTGAAAAGTTTACGATGACAACAACGACAATGACAACAACGACAACGACAGACAACGGACAAATTTTGCTCAGAAAAGCTCACTTGAGACTTCGGCTCAGGTGAGCTAAAAATCCAGTCGGGTGGATTTTGGTGAATCGGTCGCGTTACCACAAAAAAACAATTTTTTAAGGATGGCCTAGTTTTAGAAATATAAGGCATGCAAATTTAAACATAGGACTAAAAGTTACTTTGGAATAAAACTGCACCAAAAACTTTAACCTGGTCACTTGTCTGTAAAATGTAAGTTGAATATCCAGCATTTGAAGCAAGTCTGGTATTAAATGTGCATCTTTAACAGATGTACCATCCATGCAAGTTTGGTCAACATAGGGCTTATAGTTACTAGGAAATCAAATGGGACCTGTTCCGAAATCTAAAACGTGCTACAAAACATTAACCTGTTCATTTCTTAGCTGAAATTTAACTGCAGCAGCATATGAAACTTTAACTGGTCAGTTGGTCTAATGAACACACTAGAAGCATCCCCATGCATCTCTGATTAATGCAAGCATAGAAGTAACTTACTCAGGTCCAGCACAATACCCTGACAAAGCTGTATCAAAATATTCATCACATAAATACCCCCCCCCCCCCAAAAAAAATTAAATTAATAAGTTAAGAAGTCGAATTATGAGTTCTGGTGAGTGTGTTCACTCTTGCATGAAAAGTACTTGAGGATCAAAAAGACAGCATAAAAGAACATCTCCTCACATGACATGCTTTTATAATGATTTCTTTGTGATTGAGTACTTTACTTACATGAGTGAATTAACAGAACTCGACTTTCAGTATTTTAATATTTATTTATTTATTTTTTAGATTTTTTTTACATAAACAGTCTAGTCGAACCCTCAAACGGGGGTATACCCCCAAACAAGGGTTTTCCTTCCCTTAATGCAACGCGCGAAAGTCAAGAACGATAATTCTTCTTATTTAAAAAATATATTTTTTTTTTAAAAATCACAAACATGCAAAAATGATTCGTCTTCACCTTTGTTTTCAATTTTAAAAAAATAATAAATTACTTTTCGTTTTTATTTACCTCATTTCTGAAGCACAGAAGTTTGTTACAGGACAGAGGAAATTCTGACGGGCACAGAAGAAAGAGTCGAAAAATAATTAATAACATGTTCATTACACAAAATTTGTAATACCGGGGAACGGAATTATATGTAGTTTAACTTTAAACAAAACATTGTTTGTTTATTCATCCGTTTTTATTAAATTATGCATAAAAAATCTAGTTGTATCAAACCTGGTGGTTAAGGCACAGAATACGCCAACTTTGGGAGAGAAAAAGTCTCGATTTTTGCAATAAACATATATTTTTTCGCAATACAATCTCTTTAAACATCTTTATTCTATCAAATTTGAGTACATACAGAGCTACGAAATAATCCATCACTTTGCACGAGCATATTTTGTGGACCACACGTTTTTCCGTGAAAACGACACTTTTTTGAGTGTCTGCGCATGCGCGTACCCCCGTTTGAAGGTACGGATTTCCTACTTCCGTTTACCCCCGTTTGAGGGTTCGACTAGACTGATAAAATACCTTGATCAGGTCTGTAATATCTTGATATAGCTATATAGCTTAATCAAGCTATATACCTTTATCAGGGTATTGTGCTGAAAATAATGCCGTTTTTGTTGAATTTCTTCCCCGTTGACTGCGCCTATTTATCATTTTGTAATTTTGAAATTCCGAACCCGACAAAAATCATCAGTTCAAAAATCGGTCTAAAGACTTTATTGTCTTTAAGTTTACTATTTTTGGTTTTAAAGATTCACAGTTTTCTAATTTTTAACAAATAAATTTACATATCAAAAAAATTTTATATGTTAAGTTCATTGCATTTTCTTATGTTTTATTAGGTTATGGCATTGCGTTCGGAATACATTTTATAATTAAACTGAAAACGTGACAACTTCCGGGAAAATTTGGGTAAGCAAGCTGATTTGTAATTTGCGTTTATACGACAAAGTCCAAAGTTTAATTGTATTTATAGTGTAAGATTACGTCTATAGTTGTTTGAATGTACTTATCATAATTATGATGACATCACAAGAAGTTTGGAATGGTTATCAACAGAGCTCATAAAGCGGTAGATCTACCTGTATAAGACTAAATCTGTAAAATGAAGAAAACTATGTGATTTAGTTTTGTGTCATTTTCCTTTAAGGTTTAAGTAAGCCAGGTTTATAATTACCAGGAATTAAAGAATCGTTATGTAGGAATTTTTCTTATACGTGGCAACACTTCATCGAGGAAATTCGGACTCGACGTCTGCTTTGTTCTGATAATGCATTTCATAGCTATTTGACAGGATTTAACTTATTTATTTTAATATGAGATATAGTTAATGTAAGTCGATATTAACTCAAGAAATCCTTAAATATTTTTTACCTTTCCTTTCACCTTGTTTTTCTCAAATTAGAAAAAACATCACACATATAAAACTTCACATATTGAGGAGTTGAGGTACTGTAAACCAACTATTATTCACATCGGGGACCTATATACTAACCTATTAGTATTTAGGACCTTGTTCACATCATGTTTTATTCACAAATCATCAGGTTGAAATCAAAGGGACCTATTTTTATACTAATTTAACCTATTGACGGTACCGTTATAGTGCAAACTCTTCTATTGTTTAGGCCTAATTGAAATGTATTTATTCACAAATCATCAGGTTAAAATCAAACTGTGACAATTTTTGTGACTGAGAAAACATTATCAGTATGAAGCAACTTAAATGTTCAAGGTGATAAATATTTGTAAAATTAAAGTTGGTTTACGATATTCAACTGAATCAACTTTTTCGTCCTGGACCTTACCTTTGACCATGATTTTTTCCCAAATTTTGTTTGATTCATTTACAAATAATTGATATATTGAAAGCTTATATACTGATACATGTATGTTACTTGGTGAAATTTTTTCATCAACTTTGTCCTTTTTTTCCTTGACCTTTTACTTTTCTATCAATTGTGTATACATGTATAAACTCAGTTTTAAAGAACCTATTAAAGATATTTTCATCAAACTTCATGCACTTACAATTGCATTTTTCTTTGCCAATGAACCATTGGCAGGGCATTCATATCTTATGGGCATGCATGTTTTTAGTTTTTGCAGGAAATCTGAACACAAAATAAAATATGTCTATGCTACTAGTATATCAATCCAATTATATATTTTTCAGGGTTTTTTTTAACAAAATATAAACTGGTAGGTATGAGCACGTCAGCAGGCAGAAAAAGAACAAAATCTAATGAAGTAAATGGAGCAACTAAGAGACAAGAGTCTAAAGAAGAGAAGATGTTAGACTTATTGCATGAAGAACGGAAAGAGAGAGAAAAGATTGTGTTATGGCGACAGCCTGTAACAACATTACATTATTTTGTTAGAGAGTCCAGTTGTCTCATCTCAGAATTTTCCCAAAGGTACACATACATGAAATCTTTAATAATATGAATACCAAGTTTTCGTTCTTAACACTAAGATATTTTTCTATCATATATTCTATATAGTAAATATTAAAATAGCTAGCATATTACATCAAGCTTAACAAATGTTCCTTTCATGTTGGTTATATGAGATTAAGTTATTTCAGATAAACAACAATCCATATCAGTTACAATTATGCTTAACCATTTCAGATTATTAAAGTGGAAAAAGACTGTAGCAATATGTGTAGTCTTGTTTATACTGGCAGCAAGTGCATATAATCTAGAAGGACCACACCAACAGGTATAATCTGTTCATTTAAACTAAAGGTTCACAAACACTCAAATAAAATTTTGCTTGAATTTTTATGATTTTCCAAAGGAAATGTATTTTAGAAATAAAATTCAAAAGTGCAAATAATAATATTTAAAGGAGTAAAAAAAAAGCAATATCAATGAACCTGAATGTATTTAGCGGATGCAAGGAGTTAGTTAGTAATCACACTCAGAAAGCAATATAGAACAAGTATGATGCTTTGTACATTTGTACATGTCAAAATATTTGAATTTCACCTAATACTTGAAAATTGAATGACAGGGAATAAGTGCAATGCAGAGGACGTTATTGTGGTGGGGATACTGGATCGGACTCGGGGTGCTTTCTTCTGTTGGACTCGGCACAGGATTACACACATTCCTGTTATATTTGGTAAGCTCTAGATAGATCCTTCAACATGTCATGCAGATTCTGCTTCATACTGCAGATTACTGCATGTGTAATATGAATATATTACTGTAATATATTACATTTAGCAATGTACTTGATTTAGACTGTTTACTGCCAAAATTGCTAAATAGTATACATCGCTAAATGTAATACATGTATGTCTACAGTATTCTGTGTACAATTATAAGTTAAACATTTGTAATAAAAAAAGAAATGAAATTTTAAGCAAATGTGCACATGCATGTTCAATCAACTAAAGAATTGGAATAGTAGTGTGGGAATTGTGTACAGACATTATATTTGGTGAAAGTCTGCTGTTTCTTAAACTTACGCTTTTGAAGTTTTTAATGTCTTAGTTTGACTCTTTCAGGGACCACATATTGCTGCAGTAACATTGGCAGCCTATGAATGTAATTCAGTAGATTTCCCAGAGCCACCATATCCTAATGAGTAAATATCACTTACTTTATTGCACTTGGAGTGAGAATTGTCAAGTCAGTTTAAGTCTGTGTCCAAAGTAACCAGTAATCACTGAATTCAAAAACTGCAAAGCTATGTTTTGCACAGTGGGTACAGGATCTATTTTAATAAGGGAAAAAAACATACATGTAACTCTAGTCTTAATGTTTGAATCTGCTTTTAAGTTAGTTCAATAGACATTTTCTGATAGTTTTTACTTTTGAGGTTGTAATGTTTTGTACGATTTATTTTCAGCATTATTTGTCCTGAAAAAGTCAGCAGTGGCAATGTGATAACAATGTGGACAATAATCAGTAAAGTTAGAATAGAAGCCATTATGTGGGTAAGTTTACAGCCTTCTCGGACAGCATGAACAAATATATTATAGCCTGTCATGGAGACAGCAACATCCAAAGGATCTTTAATTTTTGAAATTCATAATGGTATTCCTCAATAAAGAATTTCTAAGTTTCAAAATAATTAAAACATAAAGTGATTATTTGTTGTAATTAATTTTTCTGTCGATGTAAATTGTTACTGTACAAGACTTTCTAGTGTTCCTCTACATATATTGCTATGATAATTGTACAGTATATAATGCAAAGGTGCATGTTTATACAAGTATATGTTCAGGACTCATGTATGTAATTAATAACCACATGTACTTGAGTTTTAAACCTTTCTTTATAATCAATCATTAAAAAATCTCCATACTATAAATACATGTATTAGTATGGATCTTTTTTTAACAATAAAGAAAAAAGTTTAAAATGTCAAATGCCTGTGGAAATAACAAGTAACATAGGTTTGAGAATTTGCTAGTTTTCAACATTCATCTACACTGAATTGAATCTGTATTTTCAAAGACCTCTCCCGGGATAACTCTATACTATATTCTTATCTGCAGGGTGCAGGGACAGCTATTGGTGAACTCCCTCCATACTTCATGGCCCGCGCGGCTCGCCTGTCAGGGGCAGATCTCGACAGTGATGACTTTGAGGAAATTGAGGAACTTCTTCATGAGAAACAGAGCCATCCAGAGGAAATAGTAATGCAACTTTTATAACAGTAAAATCTGCTTTCAAAGTGTCATTGGGAGAGAAAAGAGTTATAAAATATTAAGAAAAAAATATTTATTGCACGTTTTTCCTAACACTAAGATGGAAAGTACATTTTTTAAAAATTTGATGATTTTAATAGTGAAAAGAAATAATTATTTTTGCATTTAAGCGCCAATTCTTTTTATTCATACATGTATTGGTATTAGCATAAATGTTTGGAAAAGGAAACATGTTTCTTGAATGCCTTTCCTCTAAAAATCAATTTTCTTAGGCTAAATATTACAGAAAGGTACAAGCATGAGCTTGACTTGTTGATGTTTTTTCATGTCATACCTTGAATGTTTTCATTAGTATTCTTTATAAATTATTATCCTTTTTTAAAAATGAAATCTGTTTTTCTTTGCACAATTATTGTAAAGATCATGTACATGCATAACTAGTACCCTCTGATTTGCCTTTTTTTTTTATCTCCTCATGATCCCCATATTGATTTTTGTTTATTCTAGTTTTTTCTCTCTTTTTACTCAAGCCCTAGAGGGGCTTGAGTTATCTAAAACGATGCTAGGTCACCGATTTACTCAGTTTAAAAACACGATAATATATTATTTTTGTAGATAGAAATATTTCTAGAAACAAAAATGAAGCTTATTTTGAAAATGCCTGTATAATAAAAGATATTAAGTGTTAAATGTCGGATTCTATTCTATGGCGGATGAACAATTATGAAGCTCCGCAGCCACAACAGTTTCTATACAGAGATTTCGCGCCTTCATTTGCGTAGGAATCTCAGGTAACTTTTACAGTCGCCGACGAAGCATCCTTGGACGAGTTCACTGGTTATTCTGAAAGCTGACGCAGGTTACACCATCGTTAACAAATTCTACAATGCATAGCCAGTAAATGTATTGCTGTGCGCCCCCCCCCCCCCACTGAAATTGCTTCTAACGGGCCTGCAAATGA